TGGTGGTGGTGGTGGTGGTGGTGGTGGTGGTGGTGGTGGTGGTGGTGGCGGCGGCCCACACCCTTAATCCCAGCACTCAGGAGGCAGAAGCAGGTGGATCTCTGTGAGTTCGGTGACAGCCTAGTCTACAGAGCAAGATCTAGGACAGGCTCCAAAGCTACACAGAAAAACCCTGTCTCGAAAAACTCAAAGAAAAAAAGATGTATGATGTAAACTCAAAATGAATGAGGAAATCTAATATGCAAAAGTAATCCAAAATGTTAATCTTTTCTCCTCTCCATTCTACCTCCCCCATCTCTCTCTCTCTTTGCTAAGGATTGAACTCAGAGCCTTGAACATGCTAAGCATACATCTAACTCTGAGCTAGCTACACTGATCAGGCCTGATACAGATCTCTTAACTATGAGTTACATTCCCTCTATATATCTATATTTTCTTTTATAAATGAAGTATGCCTTTCAAGGTCCATTAATGTAGTTTTTGCTAACATTTTCCACAGCAAAGTAAAAGGAGGTTAAGTGTAGTACTAGGCAGTACTGATTCACTTAACGGGTTTGGGAGTCTCTGGGGGTATTTTAGAACACACATGTATTTCTGGAAATTGGTAATGACATACTCTATCTTCAGAGTTCCCACCTGCACCTTGTGCCTTCAGTAAAGCACACAGTCTCAGATACACCAGGATATGAAGCATGACTGAACTTCCTCTCTTAGAATTCTGTCAAGTCTGAGTGAGTCTCTAAGTAGAAAACAGGTCTGCAGGGTGGGACCACCTAACATTAACTGCCAACTTCATGCTACTGTTTCAATTATATATGGTGTTTTCTCCTCAAAAATATTATCTACAAAGTTATAGTGGTTCATTATAAAGGTGTGTAAGCATCTGCAGGAGCAGGGGCTGAGAAAACCACAAAGTAGAAGCCAGAAATGGCCTCCCTGTTCGATCTCTGGACAGCATACCCACTATTCCTCCATGATCCTGAGAGCACTTGTAAATTCTGCTTAAGTAAGATCTGTTCTGTTGTGTTTCATTCTATGACTCCAAAAACAAAACCCACACAGCTTGCAGGATGCAGTCAATGCTTACTGTTTACAGATAGTGGGTTTTAGGTGCCACTGTCCTATTTCTGAACTGTAGTTTTCATCAGCAAGGAGGCCATCATCACTGCTATCATCCTGTAAGAGACAGCCTTTGGTTAGTTATTAGGAACCTGCTACTGAAATAACTAATAAACAGCACCACACACAAAACTCCTTCAAATAAATGGCAACACTTCTAGTCCCAGGAAGGAAGCTGACCTAGAAAATTCAGCATGCTATTCAATTAAATTTATACAATGCTAAAACACTAACATCGAAGATTTATTCACTATTGTACGTGTGTATGAAGTGTGTATGTACACAGGCATGCAGGTGGAGATCAGGGACAACTTTGTGGAGTCAGTTTTCTCTCCTTCCAAACTTAGGTGGGTTCTGGATACAACTTAGGTTGTCAGCAGGTGCAGTGAGTCCTCTGCCCAACACGCCAGCTCACCAGGCCTTCAGTGTTAGAACAAGCTCTCAGGTGTTTATATATGGTGAAGGAGGGTTTATATTAGCTTTTCCTTTCCACTCAATCTTGTGAAATAAAAGGTCATTTTTCAATTATCCATTGGCTTATAATATATGGCTGGAAAATAAAAGTTATTTTCCTTTCTACCACATGAGATTTCCAATGTGAAGTGCAAAGTAGTGCTAAGAAGTCTGTTTCACATTTCTGATATTTGTATTATATCACCCATCATGTAAAGCCTATATAGATTGTTTAAATATAAAAAACTTCACAATCTTAATCCTGTCTCAGGCCACATATCTGAATAGGAACCCTGAGGCCTGTAGCACGTAGTCATGGCTCACAGTGAGTCCTTAAGTCTCCTCTGGTAAGAGCAGTTAGCTGTTATGTAAACTAATGAACGAGTATCTTACAGTTATTTATCATAAACTAAACACCCCCCGCCACCAGACTGAGCAAAAAGGAAAATTGTGCAGCATGAAGTATGAAGATACTAGGTGAACAACTCAGTCTTTCCTAGTACTAAAACCAGAAGCCCGAGTTTGATCTCAAGGACCCACATGGAGAGAGAAGATAAAGATCCCTGCAATTGTGCTGACTCCTACGTGCCCACTGGAGTGTGCAGGTATGTGTCCCAACACAAAACAAACAAATATAATTTTAAACAGAAAATTTAAGAAACAGTATGTTACAGTTTCTCATTAACTTTTCTTACAATTTAAACAAACTATCTCCAAAACTATAACTTATATGTAAGCGTTTATGATATTTATTAGGGCAAATAAGATCCAGGAAATTGTATAATTCACCTATGGTGCTAATTAAATATCTGTTCTTATAATACATGCACATTAAATTGGAAAAAAAAGAAAATAGCCACTATAATAAGTAAGAAAATAATAATAAAATAATAAGTAAGAAAAAAGTACTGGGAAAGTGAAAAAAATGATAATTTTGCTATTCTTATGTATACCACAATTATGTGTACTACATACTTGAATATTTTACTACTTGCCTCTCAGATATTGCTAGACCAAAGGTCAAGTATAGCCCATAAATGTTTTGAAAGAAAACATGATTTTTTATTTTATCCAATGCTGGACATCAAACTGAGGGCCTAGTACATAGTAAATAAACCCTCTACCACTGAGCTATACAGTCCCCGCTCCAAGAGAATTAACTTTATATTAAAACTTTCGCAGGTGGTATTATATCACTATGATATATATAACCCTATATCACAATTTCAACAACACTAATATATGTGTCCTGGGAACTTCTAACTAGAAAACTGGTTTTGTTTTGAAATACAACCCCAATCCAGAAGCCATATTGCCTCTGTCGCTGGTTGAAGGAATAGTTCCTAAGATTCTGTAACAGATTCTCACAAAGCATCTGATTTTACCGGGTCATCCTGATCTTCTGAGAAGTCAATGAGTTCATCTTCAAGCATTCTACCACCTTCAGCTGACTGATCACCGTAGTTTAGTCTGATTTTGCTTAAGGCATCTGTATCAATAGGAAACACTGTATGATGAAAAGCTCAGGCCTATAACCCAGTGGATAGAATACTGAAATGAATACTAATAATATAAGACAGCTGAAGGTAGGTACAAAAATCTACTATAGCATGTAATACAACAAATATAAAGTAGGTTATTTTTAAATAAAAACATGGATTGATGTCAAATTACCGAACTGTTCTATTACTCCATTACCTGAAACTTATGAAAAAATAACAACAAGGTTATATAAATCTGTGTACGAATCTGTCTGTATGTATGTAAGAGTGTGCCAGATAGTAAATAGAAAGCTTTAAGAGTCCAAAAACAGTAATTCCTAAACAAAACTATAAGCCATAGAATGGACTACAAGATAAAAATGTATAGCTTTAAGATTAAAATTATGAAAACATGGAAAAAACAAAGGGTAAAAAACAGTACAAATAAATAGACTTGCTTCTGTACATATCAGAAAAAGAATAATATAGCAGGCGGTGGTGGTATACATCTTTAATCCCAGCACTCAGGAGGCAGAGGCAGGCAAATCTCTTTGAGTTCAAGGCCAGCCTGGTCTACAAGGTGAGTTTTAGAACAGTCAGGGCTGTTATACAAAGACACCCTGAGGTGGTGGTGGTGGTGGGGGTTTATGAATATAACCGTCATGTTAGAATACTAGTTATAAACAAAATCCTGCAATTGTTTACTTAAGTTTGGTTATATTACTATTTTTCAATAAAATGAAACCCCACAAACCAACTACAGGTTTTTGTGGTGTTGGTACCACAAAAGTAAATGGTTCATAGGATAAAACTGAATTGATATGCTTTAAAGTTCATTCTAAGAATCAGAACTGTTAAAAGTCAATCATTTTGCTAAAAGAAGCTTGTCAAACCAAGTATTTAACAGAAATTTTAAATTTACACAAAACTGAGTCAGAGACTTTAATACCACATATACCAATATTGTTTAAAAGAATGTATGACATTTCAAAAATTCATAAAGAATGACCTTTAGGTATTTTAGGTAGAAAAGTTTACTTCAATCTAGGTTACAAAGCTATAAAGTTTTTTTTTTTTTTTTAAAATAAACGAGGTATCATGAGAAAGAAGATAAATAAATGTACTCCTAAAATAAGATATATAAATCAAAATGCTATAATCAGAAACATACTACTTAAAATAATCAAGCACAATTGTAACCCTTCTGTTATACACACAATAACCTCTTTATCTGTTTCAGAAATTAAGTATTTTAAATTTGTCTAAATCTAAAAATCTGTACACATCCCCAGGCAATTAAAAAGTCAATACAATCAGTTTCCTATCTATAAAGTATTATTACATTAATATTTAACTTGCACCAACTAAAGTATTTCAAAAATCATCAAAAATAATATAGTCTATGGCCAGACCACTCTGCATGTGTCTGATTCTCAATGGAACTTAGAACTTAGAAGCAGGGTTAGGCTTGGTTAGTACTTGAATGGGAGAAAGTAATTTAAATAATTCAGCTTTCAAAAAGTATCTTTCTTTCAAGCTGGGCACAGTGGTGCATACCTTTAATGCCTGCACTCAGGAGGCAGATGCTAGGGTAATCTCTAAGTTTAAGGCCGACTAGTCTGGGCAGTGAGTTCTAGGTCAGCCAGGGCTACACAGCAAGGCCTTATCTAAAACAAGGTGTGTGTGTGTGGGGGGGGGGGGATGGAGAGAAGACTCAGCAGTTAAGATTAAGAACATATTACTGCTCTTAAAAAGAACCCAGGTTCAATTCCCAGCTCCCACATCATGAGGCAATTCCAGCTCTACGAGGATTCTATACCTCCACCTCTGGCTTCTGGGGGCACCCGCACATACCCAGAACACATATATGTATTTAAAAATAATTTTAAAATAAGTGAAAACAAAAGTATCCTATAAAAAAGCAAACATTTATATATTTACTGTGTATGTGTATGTGTACACATACACAGGAGTCAGTTTTCTCCTTCCAACATCTGGGTTCTGAGGACTGAATTCAGGTTACCCAGCCTTGGTAGCAGACATTTTTACTCAATGAGCCATCTCAGCAGACCAGTATCTACCTATCTGAGTGTGACTATAAATTTTAAATCTATAGCTGGGTGGTGGTGATGTGCACTTTTAATCCCAGCACTAGGGAGGCAGAAGCAGGTGGATCTGTGAGTTCGAGGCCAGCCTTGTTTACAGAGTGAATTCCAGGACAGGCTCCAAAGCTACATAGAAAAACCCCATCTTGAAAACAAACAAACAAATAAATAGATAGATAAAAATAAATTTAATGCCCCCCCACCCCAATTTTTAAACCTGCATGTTCCTCATGTCTTCAATCTGGTCAATTATTTTACATGATGTCCAGCTGAAAAAAACAAGTGGCAAGTAGTGATATCATACATTACCTTCCAACAGCTGGCCTTAAAGCTGTAGACATAATCCTATTCATTTACTGTGGCATGTTATCTGACACTATTAGTCAACATTTGTTAACTACATGGATCTGAGTTAAAATTATGTGAACTTTTAAAAATACATCTTTTGAACTATATAGCCAGGCCAAAAATAGAATTTAGCTACTTAGGCATTAATTAATTAGGGCACAAACTTTTTAATGAGCTCCTAACTTTTCATGTGCCATCATTCTCAGACTGGTTAGTCATACTCTTGTAGGTGAGAAAGTGACATTTAGAGAGCACCCTTACTTAGTGTACTTTTGAGCCAATGAGTTCTTCAAAGCATCTGATAAAAGCTAAGGAACCACTGTGTGTGTGTGTGTGTGTGTGTGTGTGTGTGTGTGTGTGTGTGTGTGTGTGTGTAGGTAGGGTGAGGGAACAACCACCACCTCACTTTAGAGCACCACCTCTCAAACTGTGGGATGCTGCCAGCACTGAATTAAAACATTAAAAAAAAAAAAAAACCATATTAGTGTTAGCTCTCACACAAACAAGAAATTGTTTTGTGAAACAATTCTTTCACAGATCTTCCTTTTAATTATAGAGATATAATTGATGTGGGTGTATACATATGAAAGGAAAACAAACACACAGCTACAAGAAAAAGACAAACCTGTTAATCATGGACCCTCTATAAAACATTGTTTTGTACTTTAATCTCCACTAGGGTTTTGAGACTGTCTTCCAACAAAACTGTCTACTCAATAAACAACAACTTGCAGGGGTTACTTGGAAGTTCTGTAGCTGGTGTACATAAAGCCCTAAGTTGTGCTCCAATACATATAATCTCTCACTTCTTTATTTGAGCTCACATTAAAGTGTGTAAGATTATTGTTCAAAAAGAAACTATTTTATACTATTAGTGGTATTGCTGACTGAATTCAGGGCCTTGTGTTCTATTCATTGAGCTATATTCCTTAGTCTTATTTTTAAATAGCTGTGATAAAATATAATTCATAACATTCACCCATTTCAAATGCACAATCCAGTGGTTTTTAGTATATAGTTGGCCCTCTCTATCTATGGGCACTGTCTGTGGATTTGACCAAGTATGAATCAAGAATATTGTAGGGCAGGGGGTACAGCATGATGGTGCACACCTTTAATACCAGCACAAGGGAAGCAAGCATATGTCTGCAAGTTCCTGGTCAGCAAGGATAAACAGTGAGACCCATTCTATAAAAAAGATATTTGGAGGAAATTTTTGTTTGTACTCAACATGTAATATAAACTTTCCCTTCTAGTTCCCCCGAATAATTCAGTACAGGGACTTGGACTACAGCTAAGTGAGAGTGCTTGCCTAGCATATATAGGTTCTAGGTTCAATCTCTAGCACCATAGATAAAAACTAAGAGTAAAGAAAAGCAGAAGTATTATTTAAAACTATGTATTTACAACAAATTAGATGATGTAAGTAATCTAGAGAAGCTTTAGAGTAAGGAGGCTACAAACACACCATAAATGAATATGAATACTATGCCATAGCATATACATAAGGAACTTGAGCACCCATGGATTTGGGAACCTTTTTGGGCAGAATGGGGCTGGAATCAATCCTCCACAACATTCTCAAAACTAGCCATATATTCACAACAATGCATAACTACCTGCCATCACAATATTGTTTTTGATATTAACATCTAGGTGGTGCTGGGGATTGAATCCAGGGTCTCATCAAAACTAGGCAAGATCTCTACCACTGAGCTCCATCATCAGCCCTCAAAATCAATTTCAAAGCCTCCAAAAGAAATCCCATATTAACATTCTGTCTCTATATTTCCCTACCTCTTATCTTTTCCTGCTGAAACCCCTAAGCAATCAATCACTATTCTATACATTTTCTGGTTTTGGAAATGTCACACAAATAACTATTTTTTTTTTAAATCAAGAATTACAATAATGACATCGAAAGAATTACAGGTTAAATACTTGCTTGTTTACATAATTTGCTTAACTGTATCCTAATGAACTAGACTGTAGACAAAGATTTGATCTGTTTAGCCTTTAGTGACCAATTTTCTTGTTCCCTTTCCAGCTCATCTCATGGCTCCAGGACCTTATGAGCTTATTATAGCAAATTATCCTTACAAAAGCTCAGCAATGTCCTCCTTCCCATACCTGTGTCTCTTGGCTTTTTGAGACAGGGTCTCAACATAATCTGGCTGACCGTAAACTTGTTATATAGCAGGGCTGGCCATCAACTCCTGATTCTTCTGTCTCCACTTCCCAAGTGCTAGGATTAGAGGCATGTGCTGCCATGCCAGATGTGAACCTCCTAATTCACCAATACAAAGTGGTAGAGCACCAAAAAATATGTTCTTTATTTGCAATTTTCCATAGTTTTAATTCCTTTTTTCTATAGCCTATCTTACCTAACAAAAACTTATATAGGTCTATGCACGGTTTAATGTTTGCAAGGCAGAGACTACACTGAGTCTCATGGATTTTTACGGAATACATTAAGTTTTTAACTGACACATAATACCTGAACATATTCTTGGGGTTGAAGATCGAAGCTCAGTAGCAGAGTGCTTGCTTAGTGTGTATGAGGCCCTGTGTTTGATACTGTGCAACAGCTGTGAGGGGCCACCCTAAAAAACCTTAAAGGGTGGAGTAAGATGTTTTGATGTACATGTACTTGAGTGAGGCTTGTATTGGCTAGTTTATGTCAATTTGATACAAGCTATAGTCATCTGAGAGGAGGGAACCTTGATTGAAATATGCCTCCATGAGATCAGGCTGTAGGCAAGCATGTAGACATTTTCCTAATTTAGTGATTGATGGGGGAGGGTCCAGCCCACTGTGGGTGAAGCCATCCCTAGCCTGTTGATCCTGGGTTCTATGAGAAAGAAAGCTGAGCAAGCCATGAGGAGTAAGCCAGTCAGCAGCACCCCTCCAAGGCTTCTGCATCAGCTCCTGCCTCCAAGTCCCTTCTCTGCTTGAGTTCTTGTCCTAACTTCCTCCCATGATGAACAGTGATCTGGATGCATAAGCCATGTAAGTCCGTTCCTCCTCAAGTTTCTTTTGATCATGGTGTTTTGTCACAGCAATAGTAACCCTGACTAGGATAAGGTTGAAGTCAACACATGGAGTATTTGTGGGTTGGAGAGGAAAGTGACTTGATACCAAAGAATTTTGATCATAACTTTTAGATTCCTGTTAAAGAGGTTAGAAACAATAGTTTCTAATTGAAGGAAATGAGAACCAATTCATGAAAGCTGAAAGGAAATAAAAAAGGCATTAGTATCCCCTTCCTGCAGAACTGAGGGAAGGAGAAGGAGGGAAAGGGATCCCACTTTATTTGAAGGAGAAAGCTTTACTTTCTGCCTTTGGACATTTGAACTCAATTCACCAATTTAAAAATTGAGAAGAATGAACATATTTGTCTTGTAAGTTAAACCTATGAAACTACTGTATTTTTGAAACTAGGGAGTTTTTTATGAAATAAAATGAATCCAAACTCTTATAAGTGGAAAATGTGAAGCTTGCATGTTTAGATTGAGTATCTCTTACAGAAATATCTGGGGCAGAATTATAAATTTCAAGGTTTATTTTTCCTTTGAATTTTGAGTTATTTGTATTTAATACATGTAATATCAAGCAGGTGAAACTCAAGCCTAAGCATGAAATTACTTTTCATTTATCGTACATGTACTACACGTATGTAGTATCATACTAATTTTTGTGTGCCTACAACCTGTTACACAAGAATTGTTCAGAGATGCCATAAACTCTAGACTAGAGCTGCGAGCTCTGCTCCTAGGGGTGAAGAGATGAGACCGACTGCAGGAGACACTGGGGGTTTTGAGTGATGTAAGATTTTAAATGTTGGTTGTCATAGTAACTACATGACTGAATACATTAATAAAACTTAAGTGACACCCATCAAGTGAGTTAATGTTACTGTAAGTAAATTCTACCTCAGTAAGCCTGACAAGAGAAAATATGTAGCTTTAACAATTGTATTTTGAACTCTTTCACTCTTTCATAGAGTATCAGTACATACCTGGATGACGTACAGAATTTAAACACTCATCCTGTAGGCCATTCTCACTTTTAGTTCTATCAGTAACTTCCTGGCATGCAGATTCTCCATTATTTGATTCTTCGTTTTCACTTATAGCATGATTTTTTTTTTTCACACTACATTTCACACTGTATGTGTTTCTCCGATAACAAGGCTCACTTTCTTCCTGTCCAGCACTGGACTCAGTTACAGTTAAGCAATGCTTTTTGTTTAGCATCTTCTTAATCACAGGCTTGGCAGAAGAGTTCTGTGAACAACTGTCCATTTCACGGGCAGAAGAAACACAACTGTCCTCTGCAGCTGAACTTTTTTGCATGACTGCATTTTCATGGTAATGAGGGTTAGGTTCATATTTTGGTTTGTCCAAACCAGGGAAACAAACAACAGCCAAAAACCAGTGTGCACTGTAAAAACAAACAACACTACTAAACATATCATTGGAAAAGCTCATCATGCTTCTCAATAACTATCAATTGAAATGTTGTTTTTGCAAGTTTGTGAACAAACACTGATCTTTTAAAATTCTTGTATTGTTTGTAACAATTCTCACTTGTTGATTTTATCAATGGTTAACATACCACAATGATCACTAATATTTTTGTTGCTGTTGTTAGGACTATGTATCCTATATTCACTCTTACAAACAATCTTCTTAATCTTTGTTTTTAGAATAAAAGATCCATTGAAATTTTTATCATTTCTCTTTCTATTGTTCGGAGAGGCTTATTATGAAAAGTATATATCTAAATAATCCTTAGTCTTCTGCTATGTTGAAATGTAAATACATTAATATCAAAAGGAAATGGCATTGTTATAAATCTCAAATATAATTAAGGAGTTTTAGCTATCAAGTGCAAGTTCATGATGTCACTATATTCAGCTATCAACTGTATAGTCCACCAGAAAAAAAGACACATCGTATAGCCTAATAGTCACTAACAACTTTTTATTTACTAGCCACGGGGTTATGTGCCAGCATGTAATGGGTAGGCTATAGATCAAAGAAGACTTATTAGCTGAGTATAATATCTGTCCTGTAGACAGATAAATAAAATATGTCAAATAAATATTTTCTCAGTAGAAAACACTTTTTCATCCACTGCTACAGATCAAACCCAGGGCCTTGAGCATATTAGGCAAGTATCCTACCACTGACCTACACTTCCAACCTGAACAGCATAATATCATTAGGTATCTCTTTTTCTGTATGACTTAGATGACTCCAAGGTAGTATTAGGAACAGTGCTATCTCTTCATCTGACAACATTCAGTACAAAGGTCATAAAAACTGGTTTTGGTCTCAGTGTTTAAAAGTTCAAATGGAGCCTGGTGTGATGGTATACACCTTTAATCCCAGCACTTAGGAGGCAGAGGTAGAGGCGAGGCAGGCTGTCTCTTATGAGTTTGAGGCCAGGCTGGTTTACATAGCAAGTTCTAGGCAAGTCAGAGCTACACAATAAGACTGTGTCTCCAGAAAAAAAAAAAAAAATCTATTATATACACGCATATAGATATCTAAAGACAAGATACATGAATATTTCTTTCCTATTCTTAATAATTAATTCTCATTCTCAGTATACAACGGACTTAGGTCAGTTTAAGCAGCATAAATAGTGTATCAACATCCTCATTTCGATAACTAAAACTTTCTAAGTTCCACTCAGTTTTAGAAATGTTGAAATGCCGAAAAGTGTGTTTCAAAACCCATGCTGTGGCCAGGCAAGGTGGCAAAAGACTGTCCTCTAACACTTGAGAAGAAGAAGAACCAAAGGTTCAAGGTCATCTCTGGCTACATATCAAGTCTGAGGACAGCCTTGGACTACACAAAATCCTGAAAAACAGTATTTATGGTGTAATGTGGTGATTGTCAACCTACACTGTGGTGATAGTAGTCTAACAGCTTTACCATTCTGAAATCATGCCAATTTAAGAAGCCATACATTTTCTGTTATCTCACTAAAAACTAGGCAAAATACCTTTCTTTTCTCCTGACTGAAAGGACATGTGCTGAGGTTAACCTCAAGAATACAGGGCTTTAAATGTGTAGCTTTAAAAAACAACAACAACAAACAAACAAAAACCAAAAAGCAGGCTCTCAACTACGTAGACCAGTTCTGGCCTAGAACTCAGACATCCACCTCTAGTCAAGTAACTATATAAATCCCTGGTATGAGAAGAGGCTAAAATAGGTAATTTTATTATGGCTGGATTATATCTAAATTCTAGGTTTGTGCTCTTTAGCAAATACTGGTACAATTTCTAACAAACAACTTATAAACAATTTTAAAAAACTCAGCATCATGAGGTTAGAGAGATGGCTCATTGGCTAAGACCACTTACTGCTCTGGCAGAGATCCCAGGGTTCAGTTTCAGAACCCACATGGTACCTTCCAAACATTTTTAAGTACAGTTGTAGGTGGTGCACATACATGCAAACACTTATACATATTAAATAAAAATAAGTCTTTAAAAACTTAACATCGGGCTGAGCATGGTGGTGTATGCTTTTAATCCCAGCACTTAGGAGGTGGAGATTAAGTGGATCTTTTTGAGTCCAAAGAGCCTGGCCTACAGAGAGTTGGGCTAGCCAGGGCTACATGTGAGACCCTATCTCAAAAAACAAAAAAATTAACATCATTACTAAATGAAGCAGATGACAAACCAATGGTGGCCTATCTAGTAACTGGCACGTATCAATTATCTGTGGCTTTCACCTCTTAAAAAAATGAAAAGTAAGATCTAGACACTTGCAGACTGTTTCCATCAATCACCTCATGAGTGTAGCCTTCCTGCAGAATTCTGTATTGGCCTGCACCTCTATATTGGTTCTCCATCACATGTAAGATGACTGGAAGATTAATGGAAACTTCTATTGACAAAGATAATAATTATAGTGGCTCTAGATTATATATGACTCAGATAATATTTCAATTTAACACTTTTGTTATTTATTTCTTACAAACAACTTTCCTCTTTTTCTCCTAAGATGTTTGTGCTACTTTTTATGATAAATTCTAAGAAGCCTTAGTTTATGCAGAATAAATTTAAACTTGATTTTGAATTTTATTATGCTATGCATAATAATACAGTCTTGTATAACTGATGCTTTGACCCTAAAGAGAGCTAAGGTCTCCTAATTAACATTAGACACATAGACAGCACGCGCGCGCGTGCGCGCGCGCACACACACACACACACACACACACACACACGAATGGCACAGCAGTGCTGGGAATAGAACCGAGGGCCTTCCACAAACTAGCCAAGCAGCCTGCTACTGAGCTACACTTCTAGGCCCCAAAACATAGTATTTATTATCTGTTTTAAGAGGGGATCTTAATATGTTGTCCAAATTAACTTCAAATTCTTGTGTTGAAGTGATCCTTGTGCCTTACTCTCCGAAGAAGCCATGTCTACAGCCACACATGTCAAAAATATTTTAAAGGAAGGGTTTGCTCATATTACAAAGCGAATTTACTTTACAAAAAATAATTAGTACACAGTTGAAATTTACAATCTAGTGTGACATAGTAAGGCTTATTACATATAAATGATCCTACGTAATACTAATTTCAGCCATAATTCCTCCAATTATAAAGAGATGAAAAGGGGGCAGAGTAAGGCATTTCTCGATGTGTACAAATACTAAGTCACAATGCATGCCATAAAACAGCTCTTCAGCTGAGGAGGAAGGGTACTTCTTCACTCACGCACACTTCTATCTCACTCTCCCCAGATCACAACAAATGACCATTCTTTCAAATGGGTTCTTTAAAGTAAAAGCAAACACAAAGAAACACAAACTCTCCAATCTTAATCACATGATAAAGCTGCACAATATATCATCTGAACATGTCTACTGAAGCTCTTAGACTGCTTCTAATAGCATGCTTTAGTGTGAGGAAATGGCATAAACTCATCCACTTTTTCCTTTCCTATTAAATGTGAGTGAATTTTAAACGAAAGATTCAAATTCTTCTATGTGACCCAGTCATTTCTTCAAACAAGGTAATTTCCACAAACTATCTTATACTACACAAGCATCATTTTTAAAAATTACTTTCTTATACTTTGTCCAATAAAATAAAATTAGAAGAAGCTGTCCAATATACTCTATAAAATTCTGTCAGGTAATTTTTTCCCCCAAGACAGTTTCTCTGTGTAGCCCTGGCTGTCCAAGAACTTGCTCTGTAGACCAGGCTGGTCTCAAACTCAGAGATCCACCTGCCTCTGGCTCCCAAGTGCTGGGATTAAAGGCATGTAGCTAAAAATCTGTATCTTATGAGCCAACAGAGAACTGTGTTTACTTTCATAAAATACATATTTTTAATACATAAAGACTTTTACTCACGCTTCATTAAGGGGTACAAAAATAAAATCCTTCTCAAAAATATCTACATGTCGGGTCCAAGTTTTCACTCTCCCATGTCGTTTTTGTTGTATTCTGTAAGAAAGAGATCATCACCTTCTAAAGTGTCATTACAGTTATAGCTTATATATAGCGACTTACAAATTAGAACATCCAGCTCTAACATCTCACAGTTTCACTTGATTTTTTTTTCTTATGTGTATGAGTGTTTTGCCCATATGTATATGTATCACATGTGTGCCTGGTGCACTCAAGTCAAAGGTGAGCACTGGATTCCCTAGGACTGGAGTAACAGATGGCCATTAGCTGCCACTTGGTACTGGGAACCAAACCCTAGCTCTCTGCATGAACAGTAAGTGCCCTTAACTACTGAGCCATCATTCTGGTCCCATGAACAGAGTATTTTAAATGAAGCCAGATAGGGGAGGTATGAAACCTCATCACTGAATCTGCAGGTAAGGGTATTTAGTTCATTTTACAATATTCTGGGAATTTCAGTGCTTCTCCTGGATGAATTTCTTTTGTCTCGACCATTTCACTGGTGCAGCCAGTGTTGCTATTGGTAACTATACTGAGATACTTAACAGAGCATGACTTACTGGTACATGAAAGTAAGGGAGCAAGTAAAATATGCACTGTTTGTCAAGAAAAAAAGCAGCACCATAAGTTATGGCCAATGTTAGAAATCTATCTCAAGTCTATGATATAAAATTAGGAACTTCATGGCCGGGCGGTGGTGGCGCACGCCTTTAATCCCAGCACTCGGGAGGCAGAGGCAGGCGGATCTCTGTGAGTTCGAGGCCAGCCTGGGCTACCAAGTGAGCTCCAGGAAAGGTGCAAAGCTGTACAAAGAAACCCTGTCTCGAAAAATAAAAAAAAAAAAAAAAAAAATTAGGAACTTCATAAACAGTAGACAATAGAATTTTATCTGACATAGCAGCCCCAACTCAAGGCATTTCAGTGTAGTTACAAGCAGATGCACCAACTCTTGAGCCTTTTGATTAAAGTAAGATTAAGACCTAAATGCCCTCACTATACAGAGATGACCTGTAAAGAACTTAGGTGTGACAGCAGAATAGAATCTCCTTAACTATTTTGAGAACAATCATTCTAAGAGCTTAGCACAGCAATGATGGCTTCATAACCATCTAAGAAATACAATTAAGTCCTATTTGGGCACCACTGTTCTAGGCATTAAACCTACAACCTCTGAACCTACAACCTCTGAAGATAATCAAGGACATTGTTTTGAGAGAGTAGAAACAAATAAATGATGTTGTTCAATAAAAGAAAAATGATTTTTAAAAGTTACCCCTTAAACTAGTGCAAGATTATTATGGCAACTGAACATAAATCCATGAGAAAAACAACAAATCTGAGCTGGTGTGCTTTTCCTGGTGGCACACTCAAGAAACAAGCAGGTGAATACAGAGATCTCTGAGGATTTTGCTGGGGTTTGTTTTCAAATATCATGAGCCCTTCATCTTGCATTAATGAATTCAACAAGTTGAGGATAGAAAATATTTTTGAGGGAAAGTATACCTGTAAGACACATACACTTTTCCTTGTTATTACCCATTGAAAAACACAGCCTAAAAAATATTTAATGTGTTACACTCTAGTATGAGTATGCTAGAAATAAAGTATTTGAAAGAATATATACAGGTCAAATGCAAATACTGCAACATTTCATCTACAAGACATGAACGGCTGTAAATGTTATGTCATATGTGAGACATGGAGAACTAATACCCACGGATACTAAGGAATAACTACTGAATGAATTGTTAAGGTCTGACTTACGATAGGTTAGTTGTCTCAGCATTTCTCCTCTCTCTCTGATTAAGGCGTTTATAGAAAAAAGAACTGAATATATGAATTCGGTCAGCATCTTCTTTCCTCAGTTTTTCAAGCACCAAGTATCTATTTGAAGCAAAAACAATTATCATATAATGGATCACAGTTCACTCAATAGACAGTAGTCAAGCAGTGATATAATTTATTTAGCCACCATAATCCCTATCTCTAAGAAATGCAGTTTACTTCATATACTAGATGCAATAATCACCAAAATACCTTTAGGCAATGAAAAGTATTTCATATATTTTTGTGTATTTGTGTGTGCCTGGGCCCCAGGGAGGCCAGAAGAGGGTACTGGATCCCCTGAAACTGGAATCAAAGACAGCACTAAGCTACCACATGGGTGCTAGAAACTGAACTTGGGTCATCTGCAAAATCAGCAACTGCTAAGGCATCTTTCCAGCCTCTAAATCCACGCCTTTAAAAGACATTAATTCTCCTGTACCACACTCTATTATGGCCCTGACTAGTTGGCCAGCAAGTTCTGTGGATCTGCTTGTCTCTGCTTACCCTCCACTGGTGCTTAGGTAGGTCACAGGCAAGTGCAGGCAGCTGGGCTTTGAACACAAAGGCTAGGGATTCAAGCTGAGGTCTCTTGCTTACAGAACAAGCATTCTTATCCACTGAGCCATCTCCCTAGTTCCAAGACCGTTTTTCAAACAAGGAAAATAAGAAGTTGGAGAGACACCAGCAGTTAAAGGTTCTTTCTGCTCTTCCAGAGGACCCTAGTTCAGTTCCTAGCACCTACTTGGGCAGCTCACAACTCCCTATAACTCCAGTTTCAGGGGATTTGACACTCTTCTGGTTTTGGTGGGTACTTGTGCACATGCCTATACATACATACACACACACACACACACACACACACACGCACACAATTCTTAAAAGAACTGTAACAAAACCCCACAGAACAAGAAAAACTACTGCCCTTTTATTTCACTTCTAAAAACATCATTAGAGATACTAATAAAAATTTTATAGCATGTATGTATTTTCCTAGACTTCCTTTATCAACTGCATACTTTTTACATCAAAAATTTATTTGTTATGGGATAATCTTTTTGTACACTGTGAAGATGGGTCCTGCCAAGGCACCTTCTGATTTGTTTAATAAATAGCTGAATGGCCAAAAGCTAGGCAGGAAAGGATACGGAGGACTTCTGGGCAAAGATAAGAACTCTGGGAAGAATCAGAAAGGCGGAGATAAGCCAGTGGGACTCAGAGAAAATTGGACATACTGTATGGAGGAGAGGTAACAAGCCACATGGCAGAACATAGATTAATATAAATGGGTTAATTTAATTTTTAAGAGCTAGCTGGGAACAAGTCTAAGCTAAGGCCCAGCTTTCATAATTAAAAAGGAGTCTCCATGTCACTATTTGGGAGCTGGCAGTTCAAAGAAAGTCCAGCAACATTTATTATATAAAATTTAATTGGAAACTATAAATATGAGTCCTGAATAAAGTCAGGACTACAAACTAAATTTTTAGTATAATATAAAAACTTAAGATTTCAGTATGAAGCACAAACAATAACAAAAATATCAGTGGTCAGTTGGCAAATTGCTTGCTTAGCCATGTATAAAGCCCTAGGTTTTATTCTCTAAACATCACATAAGCAAGTTTCAGCTCCTTGCTGGGTGTGGTAGTACACTCCTGTACCACCAGCAAGCAAGATCAGAAGTCCAAGGGTCATCCTCAGCTACACAGCCTAATAATAAATAACCCCAAAATATCAAATACCCACTTAAAGGGTTAAATGTAAAAGGAAGAAATGCTTGCCAGGAAAGTAAAAAGAAACATGTCTATTGTCAATAAAGCAGACTCAAGAACAGGAAGATCAGGGATAAGAAAAATATCATGTAGTGATAAAGATTAGTTCTCAAGATATAAGAGCATATTTTCCTACCAATAAAACTTAAAAAAAAAAGGTGGCTTTAAAGATAGCACAGCTGGAGATTTCAACAATCCTTTGTAATAATTTTATAGAATAATTAGGCATAAAATCTCTAAGGATTTTACATATGCTAGCCAAGTGTTCCTATCTAAGCCAAGCTGAGCTAGAACTCCATTCAACCATCATTAAAAATAGGTTCTTCATGCTTATGTTTTGTGTTCATGTAAGTTCTGGTGCCAGTGGAGGCCAGAAGAGGGTATCAGACCCCTGGAGCTAGAGTTACATGTCTTTTGCCTTCCAAAGTATGAGTGGATTCCACTACTAAGCTATTAAATTAATTTTGCAGGTTTCAACAGTCAGGTTTCAAAACACATTTTGAGTTATGAGATTCACTGAAATAAATGAGAAAACAACAGCCTGGATATAAGGAGGGTAAGTTCTATTTTGTTTCATGTATGTGGGCCCTTTCATTACACATGGTAAGTTAGTCTTTATGAAGACTGTGCTTGCTGTGCACGGTCCTTACTACCTCACATATATTACTACTTCATTCAAGTCTTACAACCCTTTATTCTCATTTTTAAAATGTGGAAACATGGGTACAATAAAATACTTAAGTAGAGGATTACTCTTAAGTGTCAGAGTATATTACAGTGATAAAAATTTCCATTGAATAGTCTGACTTTAGAAAACAAAGATTTAAAAAGATAAACAATGGCAGGATGTTTAAAAGTTTGCTAATAAGGCCGGGCGGTGGTGGCGCACGCCTTTAATCCCAGCACTCGGGAGGCAGAGGCAGGCGGATCTCTGTGAGTTCGAGGCCAGCCTGGGCTACCAAGTGAG